ACGAACAACTCAAAGAAAAACACGGGAAAGTTCGGTGAGTGAGAGAGTGCATCGTTTTCTACAGCACGGTTAGAGGTCTTACCAAATTTCAGGAGTCTTTCAGATGAGTACGATGGGTAACTTGGGGATTGGATTTCAATTCAAGAGCCTTTGACTCGTCCAGGTGTTAAACCTGACGAGAAGATGAGCATTTGCTCTTCGACTCCGCAACACGGGGGATATACAAATTCCAGCTTGCTAGAAGGTGATGGGAAAGTGAGAAAATGTCATGCACTGCTATTCTTAAGAAACTGTATGAGCCGAAAATGGATGTGATTTTGACCGTTCGCTTCAAAATAACAGCGGAAATCGAGATAACAAAACATATGTTTTGTGTCCTACTTTGTGCACGAGGACGTGTATCGGCGTTTTGAAAAGCATAATTATGTTCTTTAATTCATTCATTGCCATGGAATATGCGTTTACATTGTTTTTTCACTGTTAATAGCTCGGTTAATGCCGCTGGCGATCATCTTGCCGGCGGAAGTTTCATGGAAAAGGAAAAGGACCAGCCTCTGTGGTGTAGTGGTTAGGCGCAGTCGCGTCGAGCCGAAGGTGCAGAGTTCGAGTCCTACCGAATTCTTAATTCCATCTTTCTTTTTTTTTTTTCGTTTTTCGTGTTGTTGTTTTCTATAAATATATAGCTAAATAACTGTTACGTAATAAAGTGCAACAAACAGCAAGAAAAGTGTTGTGTTTCCAGAGAAAATATCGTGCACCGTATATTAAATATATGGATAAACAATCTGAATTTCTATTATTTCCTACAATTTACTGTGGGAAAACCAGAGTTATAACCACTTGATCATTTTCTAAACAACGTTCCCACGAGTTCTTTCTATAGACTGATAGTAAATATTCTAGTACTTTCCAACATGTAAATAGGACATTCAATGTCATTTCGATTCTTTCAAGTCTCACTGCCTAACTAATGCCAGTATCAACAGAATGTGCCGCAGCATTACTATCTTTTAGATACCCTAGTTTTATATATAAATGTACTGGATTTCGCGTTTGCTTCTTCTGTAACGGTATATCGCTAAACATGTGCATGGATCAATGCTAAATAAACGTTGAGTTACCTTAACCTACCGTAAATTGTCGTCTTTTTGCCTCAGAAGTGATAGTTAATCCAATATGTTAATTTGGGGTTGTCACGGCTTTCGCAGCTCCTATATTCGCTAATGCACATAAATGCCATCAACTATTGAGACGATTGAATACAAAAACTCTCTCCAATAAATAATACACTCTGGTCTCTTAGCGGAGTGAACTCAGAACTGATTTCATTTGGTATGCTCGTTTGCAATGTTGTCCAGGTTTGCGCGCTCTGGAATATTTCCGTTGGAACCAATTTCTCTTTTGTAACTGTGCTCACCGGGACGGGAAGCCTCCTCGATCTATGGTCATTTGGAAGGCGTTTAGCAACTGCACAGGTATCTGTTAGGATCGGAAAAGGTAGGAAGATTTTACGTTTGTACTACCCGTATATTGACGTATTTCGCGTTCGTTATAGTAACTGTTGTTTCTAAAAAAGGCAACATCCAAGTGTGCCGTTGCATTTCAATGCTAACGTCTGTGCAGTAAATTGTAGTATAGCGGGGTAAATCCCGAACGGCTATCATTCTTTGACTTTCATACTAGTATCTGTTTTGACGCTGAGGCATTTCTTGCTCTTAAAGCTGTTTATCGTATAAATTGTAACAGCTCTGTTAGTAAATTTATTCTTATCTTCGAACACAGTGACTCAGATTACACTTTTTTTGGTGATGTTTCCCGGCTGTAGGACCTCAAATTTGACAGCGGGCGTTACCGGCCATGGTTACGACCAATGTAGAAAAATAGAATAAAACATAGTTTACAATTTTCTTGCCAAAAAATGAAAGAAATTCACAAATGTGAACAGTATTTACACATTTTCCTAAAATTGCCGCAAACAGGATTTAAACTGCACTATTGAATAAACAAATTAATAGACAAGTATGTTGTTCTTTTTTTAACCATCTGTCGTGCAGAACAAGATATTTTTCTTCGGAATTTTTATTTTCTTCTGGTTCTCATGAAGTTTTTGCTTTTTACAAAATAATCGCCCTTACAACTCAACCGTACGCAATAGGACGTAGTTACTTCACGTTTGCCGTCTTCAACTCGATTTTTAAACGTAGAAGGTTTCACCAAAGCTTATCTTATTGCCAAAAACTACAAGCACTTTTCTATAGCTGTATTAAAAACTGAAGAACTGTTGCCGTTCGCAAATTTAATATGACGGTCGCTTCAAGCAAACTGATAAGGTATTATTGCATGTATTTTACTTTGGTGGGTCTCTCTGTACCCAAAGCAAAAAAAGCTTGCCTTCCTTAGAGTGATCTTACTTACATTTTTTTCAACTTCGCTTCGATTCTATAACTTATAGACATCACACGACCATCGCATGCAGGACATAAGGTTACATGCCTTTATAGGTGATTGTCTGACTGCAAAACGAAACATTCTTGACTTACATACGACTATTGGCTTTTGCTGCGAAACTTTGCACCAGTTCTGGTGTGAAACTTTTACGGTGATTGCCCGACTGACTACCTACGACTACTGGCTTTTGCTGCGAAACTTTGCACCAGTTCTGGAGTGAAACTTTTACGGTGATTGCCCGACTGACTACCTACGATTACTGGCTTTTGCTGCGAGACTTTGCACCAGTTCTGGAGTGAAACTTTTACAGTGATTGCCTGACTGACTACCTACGACTACTGGCTTTTGCTGCGAAACTTTGCACCAGTTCTGGTGTGAAACTTTTACGGTGATTGCCTGACTGACTACCTACGACTACTGGCTTTTGCTGCGAAACTTTGCACCAGTTCTGGTGTGAAACTTTTACGGTGATTGCCTGACTGACTACCTACGACTACTGGCTTTTGCTGCGAAACTTTTGTGGTGATTGTCTGACGACATACCATTATGGCTTTTTGGCTAGAGAAAAAATGAGTGAGTAAGATCAGACTCAGGATGACAAGCTCTTCAAGTACTTGTGCGGAGAAAGTTACTACAAGAACACATTATCAGTCTGGCTTTAAAAAGTAAACTGTTGCCATAGCATATTTGAAAACATGGACAGTACTGTTTTTTTATAGCGAAACAGAAAGGTCCTTGTTTGCTGTCACGCGTTTACGTAAATGAAGAAAGAGGAAACCATCCTCCCCACGTTGAAACTCGAGTTAAAGACCGCAAACGTTACCTTACTTTTTGGGTTCGTGGTTTTCAGCCGTAGAGGTTAGAATTTTCCGACGGAAAGCCTGTTTACTCGAAACTTTCTATCAGTTCTGGTGTAAACTTTTTGCGGAGTAACAGTAGGCACGGCATACAATGCTGGCGGTAAGCATGTGTCTAGACCACACGTAGATCGAGCTTACTCGTTATGTTGATTATCGTTGGAAAATATGCATTGGTCTTAAGGCTTTTCGGTGATCACTTTTTTTACGTTTTATTGTGTTATGGAAAAAGTTCGGGATCTTCCTTTTTATCGTTTACCTGGCAAAACTGTAAGTACCGCTGAATGTCTTTAGTTGTTATGTTATTGTTATGTAATACTTAGGGATGATCTTTTCCCTATATCTCAAAAAAAAAAACGACAACTAGATAAAAGGGTGAAACAGGTTGAACACGCTTTTCTTTTATATTATGTAAATTTGACGTAAAACAGATCTTGCCTACTGACTTACATGTTTTTCTTGGCAATGTGTTAAATGAAACTTTGTTGGCTGGCTCATAACTTACTTCTGCTACCGCTGGCTGGGATTGCGTAATTTTTGTTTTTTTAACCTTGCTGGCTGGGATTTTTATTTTCTGAAAGTCTTGCTGGCTAGCAGTGAAGAGCGGGTATTTTTTTCCCAGGAAAGTTAAATATTAACATAGGTTGACGTAAAAGCACTTTGCTAGCGTTTACGACATCGTATAATCAATTTTGCGAAAAATGTTCGTTGGGTACTCCTGACAGTCTCCCAGATTTATGGAGCGGATGAGCTCAAGGAGATGACCCCACAGCCAATGCTGTCAATGTTTGAAAAACAACCCAAGGAAGCTGCTGTCCAAAAGCGAAGCGAAAGGAAGAGAATGGTAACAAAGGAGGTCCCTCCTACAGTGGAAGGTAAATAAATACATTTTATTAAAAATTCACGTTTTTAGTGTACATGTCCAATTCTTGGTTATACAAAGAGGAGTGAATCGAACAACAGAGAATACTATTCACTGCAGTGCTTTCTATTTCTAAGACCAGAATGGCTGCCATTTCATTTGTTCCTGGTTTGCAAACCAGGAATACAATAATATTATTCTTATTCATTCTGTTGGCTAATATGATTTGGTTTTTCTCCTCTCAGCTCCTCTAGAACAACCCGAGGGAAGAACAGGGGCCCAGAAAACAGCAAGAAAGGAAAGACGATTCAGAACATGCAAAGAACCCCTCAAAGGTCACAAGAATGTGACCCATTGCCCTAAAAACCAAAAGTAGAGGAAGAAACCAAACCATTGCCATGGGAATAGTTTTTTACTAGAAACATTTCATTGAAAGTTGATCTTTTTAAAAAGTGTTAGGCTAGTCCATGTTCTTTACTTCAGAGTTCCATTCAATAGTGTAAATCACTGTAAATAAACAGTATTCTGTCAAACTGAAGTGACATATATCTTTGCATTGTATTTCATGAAAGAACCCTGTTTTGGTCTGATCAAATAATATTGATGTATTTTAATACATCAGTTGAAATGAATTTTTCTTTATAAGAACAGCATCATTCCTATGTTTACGCTGTAGCTGACTTGATCAAAATTAGGGATTTTCATGAACTTTTTGATTTTGATGCATTAGCTGAAAGATGAATGACAGTTATTTCTACGAATAAAATACACCATAATCATTTATTTGCTGTCTTGAAATGCATTGTACACATTTATATGATCCTCTCTGCTTTTTAGTCATCAAGATCAAAACCTGTCAGTTCTTCATTGTCTTGAAGGGGGTAGGTTCTTCTAATGATAGTATATGCACAGGCTGGTAGTGGAACTCGTTTCTTCCCAAGAAACCCATACACTAGCCGTGAAAACTGTCGATACGCAACCGCTCGCATTAATCTGAAAATAGAAGAGTGACAGGTTCAACAAGAATGCATAATGGCAAGCGTTGGATTTCCACTCTGTGTGAATACATAAGCCTACTAATAAATGAGCATAAACTAGGCGCAAAACATTTTGTTAGTCTTCGATATTGAAAGGGCCTTTAGACGAAATTCGCCTGAGCGGTGTAGAAGTTTTAGAAACCGGCTGAGTTGTATTAAAAAGCCCGTGAGAGGCAAGCTTATTGACCGAACATCGATTCAGCCGCATACGTAAATGAGTATTACTTTTCTCCTGATCCTGTCTGTTTGTAAGTTTTTTTCTCTTTAGTGTTAAAGGGGCTATGTCAGCTGGAGAGCATGCGCTCTGAGGTTATGCAAATTACTTTCAACTGTCAAAATTCTATTGTTTTTAACGCGTGACTTTCTCCATGTGCGTTGTGAGGTTATGCAAGTTACTTTCAACTGTCAAAATTCTATTGTTTTTAACGCGTGACTTTCTTCATGTTATCTGTCACGTCCAAGGTTCCGAATTTAGAGAGGTTTAGCGAAATGGGTTTAGATAAGGGATATTTCGATAGAATTTATGGAACCTTTCTTCTCTGGTTATGCTAGATCAAGAATAAAATTGCGACGACAATTTTACTTGTAGTTTTGAAGTAAAAACGCATGCCATTCATAAAATAGAGCGCAAACAAAAATTCAACAACAACATATTGTCTTATTCAACAAAATAAATGGAAGTTGTATTTTACAAACGAGCTACAAAAGACGCTAGACCGAAGATAAAGACCAAGACTGTTTCAAATCATTAACAATTAGACTTGTCTGTCGCTATTGATTTTATAATTTAGATGCTGATAGAACAAGAGACCAAGTCTTTGTTTTGATCTTAGGGAAACATACATTATCGCGCAAAATTGTTCGATCGTGCCGAATCACTGCGACGTCGAGAAAAAACCCAGCATCATTGGTATACTACTCCACTATAAGCAGTCCGTTGATAAAAAGGGAAAGCAAACTCTGCTATTTTCCAAAATTATGCTCCAACACAAACAGTTCAAAAACATGGCATTTACAGGATCTAACTCGTACTAAGGTGCCTCTCTAAGTCCGTTGAGAACAATCTGGACGAGCAAACGGTCGTGTTTATCTTTCCCGTGAATCGAGATAAATACAAGAAGGAATCTAGCCGAATTTTAGAATGTTTCCTTCGCCAGGAGTTTAGTTTCGTCACGAAACTCATGGCCTGATGCTCTTGTAATCGTTTACAAAAAACGGCCGCCGCCAACTCGATAGCCGCTTCATTATATGTCCACATACTTTGAGCACAAGAAAAATCCAAGAGCCAGCAGCCTCTAAAATAACTCAACAGAAAGGTCCTGTGAACTATAGGGAAGATTCCATCAAAGATTCCATCACTCATTGTGGAGTAGCCGTCATTAACTCTGCCATTACAACGGCCGCTGATAAGAGGACACAGTAAATCCACGTAAAAACATTCCACAGGCAAACAATTTTAAAATAACGCCAAAAAATTGTTCTGTAATCACCATAGAATGATTCTTAATACAAAACTTCGCTAACTATCGAACGATGGCTGAGATTTAGACAGATAAAAACAGCCTTCCAAAATCTCCGACACAACTTGAAAAAGTTGGGCTGTCTTTTTCAAGTTTGTTTTCATTGGCTCGCGCATGCGTGTTGGGTGACATAGCCCCTTTAAATCTAGAAACAGCCATCCTGAGGCTCCATTTATCTAAAACGACAGTTTTAAAGCCTGGGTGGTCGGTTATACACGAGATCTTTTGGCCTTCCGGGAGAGCTTCTAGTACGAGGTCGCTTGCCATTGCCTCGACACAGCCATCCAATTCCTGGCAGCAATAACACTCGCTGATATTTTTTAGGAGTTCTTGGCTGCAGTTTCCGCATTGACACCTAAGCATAAAAATACAGCCTAGATTAAACTTATGTCATTTTGGATTTTAGAGAAAGAGAACTGTTTTTTCCTGGCAATGTTTTTAGGCTTCGAACGACAAATAAGCTTAGTTCAAAGTGTGAAGTTCGATAAAATGTACTGTCACGCGCCCTACCATTCACCGGTCCTGGTTTTGTCTGCTAGCCGCTTCTTAAGAAGTTCTTCTTGCTTCTTTTTTTCCCTTTGTTGTTGTCTATAATTTTTTATCCATTCTTCGTCAGCAAGAGGCTCGTCCATATAGGCTTGCAATTCGCTGTCTGTTTCTTTGTCGGCAGTCGAACTTTCCGATAGAAGTTCTTGGTTTACTCGTTCCTCCCTCTCTATTTCTTCAAAGTCAAGGCATTCTGAATCGTCTGAAAGATACTCTTCGCCACTTGTGTC